CGTACGGTACGGTACGTACTCTCTCTCTCTCTCTCTCTCTCTCTCTCTCTCTCTCTCTCTCTTTCTCTCTTCAGTTCCCCTGTAATTAAACATGCTGGATCTCTCCTTTCGTGCCCGGAACAACGGATGTGTGGACGCGGTTGATGCCAGTAGATCTTATTCGCAGATTCGCTATCACTTGCCATTATTATTTTCGATAAGATACATTACGAAAAGCTTTGCTCGTGAATTTTTTTTTTTAAATTTGGTGCGGATTTTTTTTCAATAGAAACATTAAATTTGCATTATCAAAACTTCGGCATTTCTATTAAAAAGGATCTATGCGAAATTGCGAGTAGTAAATTGTATATAAGATAAGAATATGAAGAATGTTATGAGAGTCAATTTCAGAATCTTTCTTATTAGCTATCGCGATGCATTTAAATTCCATAATTTCATGACATCGGTGATGTTGTAAATCAGAATTTATAACTTACCCAACAAAAATTAATAGCACGATGGTAAGGCGACTTGTAGGCCATTATCGACATATTAATCGGTCCATGCTAATGAATTTGTAAATTGAAAGTACGCGCGGTTATAAATACAGTTATACGTACGGGTTCGCAAACCTGTATAACGAAATAAGGTTTCAGAAGAGAAAAAAGAACGAGGCAACTACACGTAAAATAAATCATACGACATATAACAACGTAAGATAAAAGTCTCGAGTGAATTTTGACACATGCATCTTTTTAATCTCCGAGATATCGGACATTTTGACAAATGCATCTTTTTAACCTTCGAGATATCGAGAAATGAATATTTAAGTCTTTCGAAAGAAAAGTGTCGGCAATATTTTGAAAAATTCTTCTATCGCTATATAATCTTTCTAACAATTACATAATAAATATATTTCTATGCTGCAAATAAGTGCAGTTACTATATCCTTTCATATCCCTTTAATGTGACATGTTTAATGAAGTTTTAACAAAGTACGTCGCCCTAATTTATTCTCAACATCTCCATCGCGAATTCCTTCAAAATCACCATGTTCCCGCGATTATTAATCATTAATTGTCATCTCATTGCATATTCTACTCGTTCGCCAGACCGGAAAAGAAGCCGACGATCGCCAAGATTACTCGGCCGATTTTCACGTCGCGCGCTCGCTTATCGATCGATCAATTAAGGGGCCAAATTAATCAGCGTACATGGCAATCGCCGTGCAGACGGGATATGAGGAATCGTACGGGTGCTAATGAAGCGCATTAATTGGAATGTTGACCGGGGCTCGTTAATTAAATGATTCGCGGGCCGTCGTAATCGTTGTTAAATCATGCGACCGATAGAGATTGCGGAGATCGATAATTAACAGATAATAGATTTCATTTTTTGTTCGCCAGTGGATTTTCCTTTTTTTCATTTTTGCAACGTTCGTAGCATTTTCCGAGAGATTTAGTTCCATTATCATGTGCGCGCAGCTGGCGATCGTTAATCCGTCGATTAGCGCGCGAGACAACGTATCGGCTGCGTGCGCTTCGCGCTTCGTAAGGTATCTTCGGATCTACCGATTTTTCGACGTACTCGTTAAAGGCGAATTTACGGCGCGACCGTAAGTGTCGCTCCCGCGATATTACACGCGTTTTAAAATGTCGGACAGGGCGGGACTTCCGCGCGGGAACGCGCTTTACGGCAAGCGATACTCACGTGGAAACTTGATCGGGCGCGCGGTATGCGTGATTGCGTTAGATCGACGATGATAAAGTTGTCGTCGTTATTATATTTCGGAATGCCTCGCGCTGTTTCTCGCAACTCCGAGAGGCGATCTTAATCTTAACCCCGAACGCTATTGCGATGTAATAACGGCGCGGTTTGAAAAATTATCGCGAGGCCTCTATCGCGGCCCGGTGTCGCGTACGTGGAGCCTTATCGTATTTCGCGTGCCGGTAAATGAGTTAAAATAATACGTTTCATTAAGTCCCGCGGGATTAGTTTCGCTGTTACGAGCGTGCCGGTAGATAAGCCGGGCTGGATTACACGCGCGCGCACGGGGGCGCGCGAGCGAGGCACAACGAGGGGAGGATACGCCGCATTCTTGCGCGAGAGTTGAGTTGTTCGCATGCACAAATTGTTGTTTGCCGCGCGCGGGGTCACGTGTCAACTTAGCGCCGACGCGAGTTTCAGCGACAGTCCCCCTCGAACACGGGCGTGATTCACATGTGCGATATCAGGTTACCGTGCACCACAATCAGCTATTAAAGGGAAAAAAAAGGAACGAAATGTCGCGCGAACTGTATTACGTCAATTTATTCTTCGTTTATTCACCCCTCATCGTTTCCCTTCTTCAAAATTGGGAGGGGGGGGGAGGAACAGACTGGGTCTGATTAAAATATATTTAATTTGGTTCTTTTGAGGGAAGAGCGTAACTCAATTTTCCTTAAAGGATGAGATGAATTTCTCGAGTCCCACGGTCGTGAGTGGCGGAGCGATTTAGGCGTATCTACGAAGTCGCAATTGATACCTCGTTTGCCTCTCTGATGGGGTAACGCCTACGCCAATGTACGAGGGGTAAAACAGAGACGTGTCGGTTTGTTGGGCGAAGAGCACACCACGTAAGGCCCGCGGCCAGGTGAGGAGAATGGTGGTCAAGGGGGAGGCAGACAGCAGCGGAGGAGGCGAAGGTGGCGCGGGAACGGGAAGGGGGGAGACAGAACTCGGAACTCGGGGCTCGGGTGGGGGAACGTCCGAGGGTTCAGAACTGCTAATTATGTAAATTGCCGGTGTTGCAAATTACCCTCACAGTTTGCGTTCATTCTGCACACAATCCACACGGTCTCCGCACACCTCGCATGGAATCCATCCACTTGGATACTGTTACTTCCTCCGGCGGATGAGGAGG